TGGCACAGGATCTTTCCAGACCAAGAATCAAATCAGTGTCCCCTGCATTACAAGGTGGATTCTGAACCACTTGACCACCAGGGAAGCCCTGTCTTTTCATTCTTCATAATGTCCCTGATGCACAAATTTTTTCATTCTGATTACAAGTAATTTTTCTGTTCTTTTGTTGCTCATGCTTTTGGTACCCTAAGAATCCACTGCTAAATCTGAGGTCATAGAGATTTATCCCTAGTTTTTTCCTAATAGTTTCATTATTTTATCTCATATTTACGTTGTTGATCTATTTTAAGTTAATTTTGGTGTGTATGAGGTAGGGGATTCAACTTCATTCTCTGTACGTGGATGTCTAGCTATATTAATACCATTTGTTTAAGAGACTATTCTTTCCCCATAGTTCAAAATTGATTGACCCTAGATAGATGGGCTTATTTCTGGTGTCTCAGTTCCATTCCAGCAGTCTATATGTCTTCCTTTATTCTAGTACCCTCTGCTTTGATGACCTTTACTGTACTTTTGTAATAAGTTTTGAAATCAGGGAGTATCAGTTCTTCAATTTTGTTCTTTTTCTTCAAGAGTATTGAGGTTATTCCAGGGCTCTCGTAATTATAGATACATTTGAGAACTGGCTTTTCTATTTCTGAAAAATAAAAAAGAAAAGAAAAGAAATCTTGTTACAGATTACATCACTATGGGTGGTTTTGACTCTTAACAATATTGTATTCCAGGCAATGAATATGAGGTATCATTCCATTTATTTAAGCCTTTAATTTTTTTCAGCAATGTTTTATAGTTTTCAATGTAAAAAGTCTTTCACCTTTCTAGTTAAATTTATGTAAAAGTATTTTATTCTTTGGGGGTTATTGTAAATGGTATTGCTGGTATATAGAGACGCAACTGAATTTTGTGTTTTTATCTTGTATTCTACAATTTTGCCAAACTAAACTTATTTATTAGCTCTAGCAGTGTCTCTTTCTCTGTGTGTGTATTCTTTGGGATTTTTAACATACAGGATCATGTCATATGTAATGACAGCAAGTTTTACTTCTTCCTTTCCAATTTGGGTGCATTCTATTTCTCTGTCTTGCCTAATTGCTTTGGCAAGAATTTTTAGCACAATATTGAAGAGTAATGGTGAGAATGGACATTTTGTCTTGTTTCTGATATAACGGGGAAGGTTTTCAGTCTTTCCACATTGGCTATGTTCTTAGTTGTGGGATTTTCATATATGCCTTTGATCATGTCAAGAAAGTTCCCTTACATTGATTTTAAATGCATCAGACAAAATACATGGGGTTACAAAGGAAACTAATTATGTTGGAATTGTTATAAAAATGCTAAAATTAATTTGTCGTATAGTAATATGTGTGCTTATTTATTAACACATTAAATAACAAGATACAGAGCATTTTGAGTTAGTGATAAGTATAAATGACATCCTGAAATACCTGCAACTGTAATGTGGTATGAAAGTATCTATGATTTTTACTCATGACAGTAGGTCCTACTGTGGTTTGCTGTCTCCATGGTTAATGGAAGGAGATGCTCAATTTTAGCCAGAGTTTATTGAAGATAGATATATAAACTATTTCCCTTTAAAACTCATAGGTGTCTGAATTCTCTCCACTGGAATCTCAGCTTAAGAATCCCTAAAGTTGTGAGAAAATTGGTGATAGAAAAGAGGGACATGGCTGGGATGGAGGTGTAGGGAAGTGGCAAGCTGTTGTGCCCAGGAAAGGGTTGGTCTCACATTCCCATATAAATGCTACAAGGACAGTAGCAAAGCCTTCTTGCCAAATGATTAAGTCTGAAGGAAAGGGGACAGGGACATAAGGGTGTGTGGCCAGGGAACGGCTACAATGGTAGAACCTGGACTGGAATCTGGGCAAAGAGAAGAGGGAGGATAGAGGTGGAGTGGGTCAGTGACAAGGTGTTGGCTGGAATTCCAGTAGGGTCAAGAGTGGACCAGGAGTGAACTAGAAAGAGAGGTGGTGTTAGAGCAAGATACTTGAAATACCTAGAATACCTTCTGAGAGGAGCTGAAATATTACCAGGTAGCAAGAAGATGCATTTTTTAGGACTGTCTGGGCAGGACTAAGAAAGGCTTTAGAGTTATTTGACTAAATTCTGCATTGGCAGGTGGGTTCTTAACCACTAGCACCACCTGAGGAGCCCAATATGTTTATTAAAGGACAAATAAGAATGTGCTATTTGAAGTCCTGGAGGCTCAGTGGTAAGGAATCTGCCTGCCAATACAGGAGACACAGGCCAGGAAGATTCCCTGGAGAAGGAAATGGCAACCCACTCCAGTATGCTTGCCTGGGAAATCCCATGGACAAAGAAGACTGGCAGGCTACAGTCCATGGGGTCACAAAAGAGCAACTCAAAAGCTTGACGCATAAGGATCTTGAGATAGACAAACTGAACTGTAAATCTACAGTTATTTAGAATTTAGACTACTAGGAGATTTTACCTCGGAGAAGTGTTTTATCACTGACATTGTTTATGATTGACAGGGTATAATTGTAATTAAAAAGCACTGATTTATTTGGTTTTATTTTTGCATTTAAATTCTTTATGGCTCTGGTTCTAGCTTCACTGGGCTGCATTCTTGCTGTTTGACCTCCTAGAAGTAGATACACAAATACAAGATAACAATGCCATGGGACTTATGGGGTCTTCTTACCTTGTTATGGGGAGCTGGGTTAAGTGGAGCTGATTGGCAGAGCAAGAATTGGGGGCAGGCTAAGGAGGAGGTGGTGCGAGCATAGGGCAGGGTAGGATTTATGGGGTGGAGGATGGAACAATAATGAAGGGTCAGAGTCATCCGATTTAGAGGGGGTCTTTTTTTCCTGATCTTGGAACTTTGTCTCCTTAATGCCTTAGGATCCTTCCCTCAAGCTTTCCAGTTGTTTCTCTGCTCTCCTTTGACATTTCTTTCCCGTATCCTGCCCACCTCTTAGGACAAGATTCTTCCAAGATAAACTGAGCTTTAATATATCAGCAAGGCCCAGACCTTCAGCTAGTAATGGCTTTGGAGATCCTGGAGGACTCACCACTATCACATCTGCTATCTCCTAGGTCCCAGTACATGGTGTAGGCAGGGAGTAGGGGACTCATTGGGCTTTCCTGGTGGTTCAGTGGTAAAGAATCTACCTGCTAATCCAGGAAATGAGGGAGATGCACATTTGATCCCTGAGTTGGGAAGATCCCCTGGAGAAGGAAATAGCAACCCACTCCAGTATTCTTGCCTGGAAAACCCCATGGACAGAGGAGCCTGGCAGGCTACTGTCCATAGGGTCACAAAGTGTTGGACATGACTTAGCAATGGAAAAACAAATGGGGCTCAGTAGGTCTAGATGCTCAAGTTACAAAGAGAGTCTTATAATAACTTTTTAAAAGCCTCCCACAGTGCTCTGCCATCTCTCCTGCTCTCTCCATGTCATACTACAGTGGGGTACATGGCAAGGGAATGTTTACTACAAGCCATTCCCCATAAGCAACAGCCCCCCAACCCCATGTCATTGTTCATTCTGTCATCATGATCTTAGAGTGTACCAAGAAAATACAGACTTATTTTTAAGTCTCAGTGGAGATGTGACCACCTCATTTGTTTCCAAAAATTTTCATGTATGCTCCTTGAACACCATTCACTTCTTGCTGCCAAGCAACTTTCGGATCCTATCTGTTTTTCCAGTGTTCACCAGGAGCTCATTTTGCCTTCTAGTCTGAAATTAATGTCTTCAAAATATCAAGACTTTAACAACTTATCTTGAAATAGTCATCTCAACAGATGCTGTAGCCAGACTTGGGTTTTCCCGTGGAGAGGGCTGAGGAGCAAGCATTTTGTTTTAGACATCATGCTGGGTGTCTGTACAACCCAGGGAAAGGGTTGGAATAAACAGAGACAGGCCTTACAACTAAATTTTTTCCCAACACATATCCTCACCTACCAAAGACACTTCTCACATTATTTTACTCCTGGGGTTATTAGCAGGTTACCTCTCTTCCTCATTTACCAGGGCTTTTAAATAAATAGGGCTTTACATTTTCAGCCCAAATGTAAAACTTTTTCAGCCCAAATGTAAAACTTCCTCAGTACAGAGAAAAAAGACGAAAGACAGACAAGGAAAAGGTGAAAATACAGAAAGAAAAAGGGGGCAAGAATAAGCTGAAGGCCAGAAAGGAAGGAAAATGGGTAATTAGAAGTAAAACAGAAGTGATAGTAAGTGGAGAGAATAAAATAGGAATAAGAGGACAGATGAGAGAGAAAGAATAAACCCATGACGTGAAGTAGGATGAGAGAAAATCAAAAGGGAATTCTAAATGGAAAGTCCTAGCTTGCCAGGAAACAGTAGAAACATGTAGGGGGCCTATCTAGGGGTGGGGAAAGACTCTTCTTTACCCTTCAGTCCTAATTTTAGGCTCTCTTCTGCTAGTAAGCTTGACTTGGATGGCTAGTGCTTTAATCAGCATCCTCTACTTGCCATTCTGGTTTCTTCATCTCTCATTTACATTTGAATACACAAGTGCAACAGCACATCCTGGTACAGAGAATGAAGATAACCAAGAGAGATGAAGATAACTAGAGGGAGCCCCTCTAAGGATGGAGAGGAGGAGACAGGACATTTCCTGTATTAGAGGAACCCTATCTTTATCTGAGCTTTCCTCACCCATCACATCCACCCCACAAAGCAGCATATAAAACGCCAAGTTCAGATTTTTCCTTTATTTCCATCTTCATCAGGGGGTGAGGTATAAGGTTGGTACAGGTGCCTGGGTTCTAACCTCACGTTTGCTTGGAACTTTTCCCGAGTCCATGACATTTTTGCCTGATTTTCAAATGTTTCTTCCTTTCCTGGTATTTACTCTGGAAACACCTTCATTTCTTCAGCAACACACCAAAGGTCTAGGTGCACGTATCTCTGCTACAGCCTGGATGATAAGCTAGCTATGTCTGTAAATCCACGATTTTCCGCAAGCATTCGGCAACGGGGCTTGTCCTAGGGGGACCCCAAGCGGAGCCCACTCCTTCGGACTAGCGCGGGCAGCGCGCGGGCCACCCGCCGGCCACGCATCAGGAAGGAGGTGGTGCGGGCACGAAGCGCAACTCTCGAGGACAGGAGCGACCGGAGGGTGGAGCCGATCTCAGCAGTCGCGGTTGTCCGGCGCTCGCCTCGTAGGTCCGCACCCTCCTGACTTCGTCGGGTCACCTCGCGCGCGATCTGGTTGAAAAGATCCCGCTCCAACACGTGCAGTATCACCACGGCGTCCCTGGATAGGGGCTGTTTCAGCACCTGCAACACAATGTCTCTCCGCGACCGGCGTTGTGTGTTCCGCCGCGCTCCCTGCCGCGGGAGGAAACCATCCGTGCTGCTGCAACATTCCAGAGGATAAGTCTCCCGGGTGCCAGCTTCCTTCCGGTTCATGTCCTCAGCCCTCCTGGGCTGCGACCTAAGTTTCCAGATAGCAGGCTGGTTTCTTATGAATCATCCCGCCCCGCCCACTTGCTGTCACAGAAGATAGTGGCGGGCCACTCTCTGGTGTGATTGAGCTCAGGACAAAGGCACCGCCCACTGATGATCAAGAAGACAAACGGATAGAGCTCCTGGAGAAGCTAATTGGCTGAAGAAAACAGATACCAGACGCTGATTGGATGAGAGAGAGACAAAGGGTGGGGTGTAGGACTCTAGCATAGACCTGGGGCCTGAATAGGCTAATAGTGTCGGTGGGTCTTCTGAAATTTAGGGCATAAACTTCCTGTGGAGTGCTCCTTCTCCACTTTATTATTATTATTTTTAAAATTTATTTATTTATAACTGCGTTGGGTCTCGGAGAAGGCAATAGCACCCCACTCCAGTACTCTTGCCTGGAAAATCCCATGGATGGAGGAGCCTGGTAGGCTGCAGTCCATGGGGTCGCTAAGAGTTGGACACGACTGAGCGACTTCACTTTCACTTTTCACTTTCACACATTGGAGAAGGAAATGGCAAACCACTCCAGTGTTCTTGCCTGGAGAATCCCAGGGACTGGGGAGCCTGGTGGGCTGCCGTCTATGGGGTCACACAGAGTCGGACACGACTGAAGTGACTTAGCAGCAGCAGCAGCAGCAGCATTGGGTCTTAGTTGCTCGTGCAGGCTTCTCTCTGGTTGAAGGATGTGGGCTCAGTTACTCTGAGACATGTGGGATCCTAGTTCCCTGACAAGGGATGGAACCCACATCCCCTACAATGGAAGGTGGATTCTTAACCACTGGACCACCAGGGAAGTCTCCCTTCTCCACTTTGAGTCAGGATTTCAGATCAAGGCTGTAGCAATTTGGCTCTCTTTGAACCAGGGGAGTGGAAGGTGATTTTTCTATTTAGAAAGAAGAAGATATTGAGAACTCAGAGTGTACAATAATAATATCAGATAGAGCTTTTCCCAAAGCAGGAGATAAAAAGGAAGTAATGGTGCCATCTAGAATCCAGAAAAAAATAAATGTCATGAGGATAAATGTAATGTCTCCCCACATGAACCCCTAAGCCTCCTCACAAGTTCTTCATTGGGAGACTTAGGAACTTAACATGAAAAAAGCAACTGGCAGTTTCAAGAGACTGTAAAGTCTATGTAACTCAACAGAGCTAAAGCAACAAAAAGCTCAAATTTAATCATAACTTTTGAAATGGGGTGATAAAATGGAATTCTTAGATTGGGCTAAATACTGAAGGCAGATTGGGCTAAGAACTAAAGACAGAGAAGAAATATAGAGAATCCCCTCTTCCCATCCATGCCAAAGTAGTTACTGATTGTCTTCAGTACCTACAATGGAGGGTGACTATTGAGAGGCTTGGCTCATCCGTTACTTCAATGATATAAGAAATTGAAGCGAGATTGAGAGGGTAAAAAAAGGATTTGTTTGGAGAGGGTTACTGGAGGATTAAGGGGTTTAGAGCTTTGTAATTTTGAACCATATCAGACTGAGAGAACCAAGAGTGTGCCTGAGTCTCAAGTCAAGTAAGGGACTTTTTATTATTATTATCTAAGAGTAACCAAGAATTATTAAACTTGTTTGTAATTTCATCCATGGAAAAGAGAAAATAGTGTTTTGCAGATGTCTACTAAGGGACCATGAAAGGAAAGAAAATATTTTTTTTCCTGTTTGTCCCCTGTGGAGTCCTGTTCTTTGGATTAATGAAGGATCTTTATGAATTAGTAAAGTATCTGGAATATATGAGTGATCTTTCCTCCAACCTTATATTAGGCAGACAAATACCATGTTGAGTCATTGGTAACATAATTCAAGAGTATGATATAAGCAGGACATACTGGATTCATCCTAAAGGGTAGTTTATGATTGGATACCATGTCATTTTGACTGTCTAAGCTGCAGAGGAGAAGCCTGGGATAGCCAACAATCACCATATACCAACAACAAACACACAAATAAATAATTTCAGAGAACTAGAAGTGCTGTGAAGGAAATAGACAAAGTGGGCAGAGAATGACAAAAAGGATCTGAGTAGGTGATCTTGGAGCTGAGATTTACATAATAAGGGAAACAACCACATGAAGAGATGGAGAGTAGGTATTCCAGAGGGAAGCGACTCTCTCCAGCGTGTTTGGTACATTTGAGAAATAGTAAAAAAAAAATTTAAAAAAAGTGGGACTAGTAGGACAGAGTGGACAACGTGAGGAAAGGTGGGGGAGGCCAGAGAGACAGCCAAAGGTCAGACCACACAGGCCTTAATGTCATAGGAAGGGCTTTGGATTGCACTGGTGACCATGAAATGTTTTAAGCAGGAGATTTCCTCCTTCCTGTCTTGCGCAGGTAAGAGCAGAAGGAAGCAAATCAATCTAGCAATCACTCTGCAGATATGATTGTTATAGGATATTGAGATGGAGAGATTATTTGGATTATCTTTGTTATTTTTGTTCAGTTGCTAAGTTGATTCCAGTTCTTTGCTGGACTGCAGCACACCAGGCCTCCCTGTCCTTCACTATCTCCTGGAGTTTGCCCAAGTTCAGGTCCATTGAATTGGTGATGCCATCCAACCATCTCATCCTCTGTGCCTTCTTCTCCTGCCCTCAATCTTTTCCAGCATCAGGGTCTTTTCCAATGAGTCGGCTCTTCACATCAGGTGGCCAAAGTATTGGAGTTTCAGCATCAGTGCTTCCAATGGGTATTCAGGGTTGATTTCTTTTAGGATTGACTGGTTTGATCTCCTTGCAGTCCAAGGGACTCTCAAGAGTCTTCTCCAGCACCACAGTTTGAAAGCATCAATTCATCTGCACATATCCTTCTTTATGGTCCTACTCTTACATCCTTACATGACTACTGGAAAGACCATAGCTTTGACTATACGGACCTTTGTCAGGAAAGTGATGTCTTGGCATTTTAATATGCTGTCTAGGTTTGTCATAGCCTTCCTTCCAAGAAGAAAGCATCTTCTGATTTCATGACTGTAGTCATCATCTGCAGTGATTTTGAGCCCAAGAAGAGAAAATCTGTCACTGCTTCCACTTTTTCTCATTCTATATGCCATGAAGTGATGGCCCCAGATGATCTTAGTTTTTTTAATATTGAGTCTTAAGATTTTGTTTTTTGGGATTTTCTAGGTGGGTCCAAACACCTTCACAAATGTCCCTATAAAAGAGAAATAGAGGGAGATTTGATGCAGACAAAAGGAGAGGCAGCAACATGACTAGAGAGAGATTGGAATGATGTGGCCACAGGCTCGGGATTGCTAGTTCATCACCAGAAGCTACCAGAGGCAAGAAAGGATTTTCCCCTAGAATCCTTGTAGCAGAAATATTGCCCTGATGACAACCTCATACTAACTTCAGGCCTTCATAACTATGAGTGAAAAAAATGTCTATTGTTTTTAACCACCAAGTTTGTGGAGCTGTTACAGCAACTACAGAAAACTAATACAGGTGACCTGGAGTAAGGTTTTAGCAGTGAAAAAAGCTGGAAATGATCGGATTCACAACAAATTTTTGCAGATAGTATCAGCAGGAATAGATGATGTAGTCAAGGATGATTCTGAGGTTTTTGTTCTGAACAAGTGGGTGGATGATGGTAACATTTACTGGGAACCTGGGTCTCCTGCATTGCAGGTGGACTTTTTACCATTTGAGCTACCAGGGAAGCCCTTTAAAGCTGAGGGGTCAAATAAATGAAACAAGAAGAAAAAAGGCCAGAAGAGAGAGGACTTGGTCCACAGAAAAACCCCAAGCTAATCCTCTGAAGAGGATCCAACAAAGGAAAGGAAGAGCCAGGGAGGAGGGAGGAAAACCAGGTGTGTGTGAAGTCACAGAAGCTAAACTTCTGCGAGGGGAGAGGGGTCATGGAGGGAAGTATCTACATTGTCAGATATTGCTTTAAGGGTAGAGAAGCAGAGATGGAGAAGGAAATGGCAGCCCACTCCAGTATTCTTGCCTGGAGAATCCCAGGGACGGAGGAGCCTGGTGGGCTGCCGTCTATGGGGTCTCACAGAGTCGGACACTACTGAAGCGACTTAGCAGCAGCAGAGAAGCAGAGAACAGACCACTGCCTTTAACAAAGTGACTGCCCCAGGTGACGTTGACAAAGCCCGTTCTAATAGTTTGGTAGAGAGAAAAGCTCCACTGGAGTCAACTGAAAAGAGAACGGAAGTGCGGAATAGTCCACAGCAAATCTGGGCAAATTTTCGGATGACTTCTGTCGTGCGTACGTGCTCAGTCACTTAAGTCATGTCCGACTCTGTGCGACCCCATGGATTGCAGACTGCCAGGCTCCTCTGTCCATGGGATTCTCCGGGCAAGAATAGTGGAGTGGGTTGCCATTCCCATCTCCAGGTGACTTCTGTCGGGGAACAGGGAATTGGGCGGGAGAAAGAAGAACTACAAAGTAGGGATGGTTGCAGAGGCCACATCCCTGGGCTGGTTGAAGGGGCTGGAGTCGGCGCACGGGAGGAGGGCTTGGCCCTATAAACTCCATCTCCCTAAGTCTTTGGCCACCAAACACAGGAGCTCGCCGGAGCAGCGACCTTCCACAACCTTTGCACGGTTCAGCCAGGAACGTGAACAGTTTGTATGGGAACCACGGCTCCCAGCAGGCGTTGCGCTGAGCGGCCAATGCGCTTGCGCGCGCAAGCAGCCTTCCCCTTTTCCCCTTCCCCCTCAAGCCCCGGAGCCAGTTCCAGGCTGGAGTCACCGACGCGAAGGGGGACGGGTTCCTCTTAAAAGAGAAACACCGGCGGCGCGCGCGAGGTGGGCCCCTGTCCTCCCGCCGCTCTCCGGGCCTGCGCGCGACATGGGAGAGGCGCAGGCGCAGTCGGGATGAGGGCGGGTGGGGGCGCTCAGGTAAGGCCGGGGTGGGGGTGGGTTGCGGCGGGAGCTCTGGGCGGCCGGGAAGCTGCCTTAGGAATTGGTCCATCCGACGCAGTGTGAGTGTTCAGTGGGGCGGCCCAGAACGGAATGGGGGGTGCCCTCCAGACCCCCCGCCCCTCCCCCCGCCCCCCGCCCTGGCTTTACCCAAGTCGTCCCAACTGTGAGGAGCTCTTCCAGTGCAAACGACCTCGTCCCTCATTTACCAGTAAAGACTCAGGCCTTTTTCAATATAAAACTGTTACCTTACCCTTGACTCCGCCCTGGTTGAAAATTTCTTACCCCATAGCTCCAGTTCTGCCCTCAGTGTGCCGGGGATCAGGCCGTTCTGACTTTGATGCTGTCCCCGTACCTCCCACCTCCACGATACCCACCCCCTAGCACTAGTTTATACGCCCTGACATGTAAGCAGACTTGGTTTGAACCCGGTGGCGGCGAATGCTGTTGCAGTGGTTTGGTTCTGCCCCAATTCACCGATGAGGAAACTGAGGCCCCGGCAGAGGGTGGAGCTGGGGCCTCTGGACCCGTATCTGATCAGCATCTCCTCCACCCCGCAGGGCCTGGTACTCATGGCGGCCTCCCCTGCGGACGCGTCCCGCAGGCGGCGGGAGAAGCGACGGCAGCTGGATGCGCGCCGCAGCAAGTGCCGCATCCGCCTGGGTGGCCATATGGAGCAGTGGTGCCTCCTCAAGGAGCAGCTGGGCTTCTCCTTGCACTCGCAGCTGGCCAAGTTCCTGTTGGACCGGTTAGGGCCCGGGTCAAGGGTTCTGAGGGAGGGCACCCAGGCTACAACACCCAGCACCTTACCCGTCCCCTCTCCCCGACACCAAGTGTGGTCCTGCTGCTCCTTGCCACTGGCAGATTTCTCGTTTCAGAAACAAGGCCAGGGTGGTTTGTGAGCTCCCACGGTCTTCCCCCACCTCTTGGTCCCCAGAGGATAGAGGACCCCTTAGTGTGTGAGTGGCCAGAGCCGGGGGCAGTTGGCCACATGGGCCCTCACTTGACCTGCCTCTTGTCCCCCTGGCAGGTACACTTCTTCAGGCTGTGTCCTTTGTGCAGGTGGGTAGGGAATGGCTGGGGGTAGAGAATTAGGAGTCGGAGGGGGAAGAGGGGGCAACAGGGAATGGTGTGACCTAGAAACACCCTCCCTAAGGGGACTGGATCAGAGGGCGCCTTGAGTGAGTTTGGGAAGAGATGGGGGGAGTTGGACAGCTGAGAGGGGCCACCTGTGGAGGAGGGAGCAGGGGGTTGGGGTACAGGGCTGTGAATGTGGCTCTTCAGGATGAGAGGAGAGGGCCTCCCAGCTCACCCTTGACTGTTGCCTTTACTGCTCTAGGTCCTGAGCCTGTGGCCCCCAAGGGACTGCAGTATCTGGTGCTTCTATCTCACGCTCACAGCCGAGAGTGCAGCCTGGTTCCTGGGCTGCGGGGACCTGGGGGCCAAGATGGGGGGCTTGTGTGGGAGTGTTCAGCCGGCCACACCTTCTCCTGGGGCCCCTCTTCAGGCCCCAAATCTCCAGAGGAGCCAAATCCGACCCCTCTTCCAAGTACTGACGAGAGGAGCTGGTGCCCAGAGGCCAGGAGTGGGCAGGAGCCTGCAGGTAGGCTGGGGGAAAGAAGAGTTATGGAGAAAAAAAGAGGGGAACTCAGAACCCTATTGTGTAACTCAGAACCCCATTCTTCAAAAATGATCCTTTCTCAGTGGAAAAACTCTATGCTGATAAGGAAATATATCCTCAATATATTTTTAGGTATGAAAAGCAGAATACAGAATTGGATGTATCGTATGTCACCATTGGTGGATAAATAAGGGAAGAAAGGAATTTATTTGTATGTACTTATGAATGTATAAAAATTTCTGGAAGGGCATATAGGAAAACAGGTTACCTACAGGAAGACTGAGGTGGCTGGGGTATGGATTGGAAAGGAGACTTTTCACAGTTTACCTTTTTATACTTGTTTCTTTTTTTGGGTCATGTGAAATGTAAAATCAGTCTTTCCCACTCTAGTAGCCTGTGCCCCTTCTTCCTTCTTCCTAAGAGTCTTCCCACCACTTCAGGTCTTAGAACTTCACCTGTCCTCATCCCTCCCGTACAGAATTCCTTCCCCTTTGACCTTATCTGTGCCAACAGGTTTGGAATCTAACTGTGATGAGAGGGCTCAGGAGGCCAGGATGCCCAGGTGAGTCTGGGGTTGGGGAGAGGGGGACAAGATAGACCTGGGTGGACAATGGAAGTGAGGGAGCAGGACTTCACACTTGCCTTCCTTGGACCTGCAGGGGTGTGGGACCCCCACCGGAGACCTTCCCATCCCTCGGAGAAGATGGGGAAGAGGAAGAGGAGGATGAAGAGGAAATGCTCAGTGATGCTAGTCCCTGGACCTACAGCTCCTCCCCAGATGAGCAAGTTGGGGCTGAGGGAGGATGCTGAACAGAGTGGGCTAGTCGGGGGTGGGGGGTGGGGGGTGGCTGGGGCAGGGGGCACTCAGAGCTTTGCTTTGCAGACATCAGGGAGTGGCTTGTTGGTGGAGAGGGCAGGTTAGGCTTTGGGGAAGGCAGAAAGAACTAGAGATTTTGAACTGGGTGGAAAGTGAGTTTGGGATCTTTGCAGTTTAGGGATTGGGGTTGGGCTGGGGCTGGCTGAGGATCCATGAGATAATGCCTTCCTCTTCATTCTCCTTTCAGCAGTGAGCCAGATGTCCCCAAACCACCCCCTTCCCCTGTCACCCATGCACTTAATGATGGGGAGATACCCCCGGCCCCTGCAGCCATCCCAGCTCCTCTTGCTTCGCCATCCTCTTCAGCATCCTCCTTGGGTTCTGGAGCTCCTAGGCCTGTAGAAGTCAGGATACAGCCAGAGCTCAGGGGGACCCCTCAAGCAGACCAGCAGACTGAGCCCCTGGCCAGGTAACCTGATGGCTGAGACAGAGGGCAGGGGCGTCCTGGGACATGGCCCTCCCTCGAGGCCCTCCGCTCCCTCTTTGCTGCCCATAGCCCTGGGAGTCAGGCTCAGTCTGCTCTGGCCTCGGCATGGGATGAGGACACTGCTCAGATTGGCCCCAAGAGAATTAGGTAGGACTGGGGAAAGGGGCCCTGGGTAGGGAAGGGTGAGGAGGGAGGTGGGGGAGTGCCTGCACGAGTCCTCCCGCTTCCTCTTCTCCTCCCTCAGGAAAGCTGCCAGAAGAGAGCTGCTGCCCTGTGACTTCCCTGGCTGTGGAAGGATCTTCTCAAACCGGCAGTATTTGAATGTGAGCATGTGAGGGGTACAGGTTGGATTCTGTGTAGCCTCGTGGGTGGAGGAGGAGGGCTGAAGGAGAAACTGAGGTAAAGAAACCTGGGGTGTGGAGGGAATTCAGAGCCAGGGAGAGAGGGGTTGGGATGGATGTACAGAGCTCGCCTACAGTTATAACCACTAATCCAGGTGACTGGGAGATAAGGCAGGAAACCAAGCTTCAGGGGCACAGCTGCTGCCACTGTGCTTGTTGCACAGGCCCTCTGTTGGCCACACGGAGATAATGGTGGCATTCCTCAGGCTTTTGAGGTGCTGGTGACTGTTCTAAGCACTTGATATGTGTTGAGTCTCCTGATCTTCTCAACATTCCTGTGGAGTGGGCGCTGATACTATTCCTGCTTTGCAGATGAGGAAACCAAGGAACACGGAAAGATTAAGCATTGCCGAAGGCTTCTCATTAATGTGTCAAGGTGCTAGGGTTCCTCAGTCCATTGGGCTGCCTCGCTCTGCTGGCTCATGTGGGTGGTTTAGGAGACAGTCTTGTCCTCAGCCTTACTACAGGAGAGGTTTGAGGCACAGAGACGGAAGAGTCCAAGCCCCACACTCAGCGAGAGCTCTCACAGGGTTCTGAGGCTGGGGGGCCCTAGACCAGAGGGGTGGTGAGGCCTGGGTGGATGGGATTTGGGAGAAGGGGAAGGTTCCCATGTGGTTGCAAAGCTCTAGGCCTTTGATAAGAACAGCAGGGCTGGTCAGACATATTTGAGTCTATTAATGAAGGAGACTGAAGTAGCTCCCAGCAGTAGTTTAAATATGGGGAAATGGGATTATGGAGAAAGGGAAAGCCCATGCAGCTTAGTGAGCCAGGATGTGAAAATTAGACCAGATAAAAAGAGAAATATTTCCTAGAAATACTTGGGGAGTTAAGGTTGAAGAACACACTACCCTTAAAAGTGTTCCAAGTTGAGAGAGAGTGTGTTTCCAAAGCACATTTAGGAGAAAACGATATAATCCCATGGTGAGCTATTAATAAAATGTAGGCCATCTGAGAGACACTGTTGGGCATTGATATTGATATCAAGGAGAGTAATCATAACCACCCAAAATGTGTTCCCATCCCTGGCAGATGGCAAATATATAGTTAGGGAACCAGGAATGTCAGCAGAACTGCATTTTGTTCAGGGAACTGGGCATTGCAGGGCAATGTTGTGACAAGAAGGTGAGATAATGGAAGTTGAGGGCAGGGCAGAGTAAGGGCAGGGTGGTATCAAGAAGGGATGGGATTGGGGTGCTCACGTATAGGTGAGGACTGGACCATAGGTGAGGCGGTGACAAGAACTGCTAAGGGAGAGGGCAGAAAAGCCTGCCTTCTGGGTCAGCTCTGGTGGTCTCCCTGAGAAAACCATGTGCTTCCTTCCCTAGCACCACAAGAAATACCAGCACATCCACCAAAAGTCCTTCTCCTGCCCAGAGCCGGCCTGTGGGAAGTCCTTTAACTTTAAGAAACACTTGAAGGAGCATGTGAAGCTGCACAGTGGTGAGTTGTGGAAATGCCTTCTCATCTCCCCACTGTGGGTCCTGTCACCTCCCGCTGTGGGTACCTTCCCCTCCCCCACGAGGCCCATCACCTCTTATCTGCAGGTTTTGTCACATTGCCCTGGGATAACTCTTCATTTCCACACTCATCCCGCACTCTCTTTCTGTTGAGATCTTGCCTGCTTTAAACTGTTATAAGTGCTTGGATTCAGCAGTGAGTAAAGCAGGCAGTACTCACCTTGTAAGATGTCCACTCTACTGACACTGGGCCACAAAGAGCTGTGAAAGGTGCTTTGAGTAAAGACCTAAGTGAAGAGAGAATGGAGGCTTAGCCATACCCACAGGCAGCTCGTGAGAGGATCCTAAACTGCCATCTCCAAGCATGATCCAGGATGGAGAGGAAGACAGGAGGTTAGAAAGGAAGAGAGGTCAAATAGGTAGTAGAGGCCTCCAAAACCATCTTCACAATGGCTTGGCACCTGGCCACGTGTGATGGGCACCGGTATGTTGGAGGGAGGGACACAACTGATTTTAAAAGGAGCTTTGTGACTGCCATGTGAAGAATCGAGGGACTGCAGAAATGTGCAGCACAGTAATGGCAACCTGGTGAGAAGTAGCTGGAGACTGACGAGTGAGTGAAGGTGGAGCCCGGGCTACTGTGGGTAGAACAGATTGTCCATGGGTAGGACTGTAGAGTCAGAGGACTTGGAAAAAGCCTCGAGCCTGAGCACCTGGATAGAAGGTGATGTGATTCCCTGAAAATGACACGTAAGCAGGCTTCAGGAAAGGGACATGACATTTTATTTGGGACATGCTAATCAGGTGTTCTAGAAAACATGAATCTGAAGTTCAGAGCTGTTGGGTAAAAAAGAAAAAAATGTTCATCATGAGCACTTGAGTGGTGTTTAGAGCTGTGGGTGGAGTGTTTCTACAGGGAGAGAGTGAACCTAGGTAGAGAAGAGGTCTGAGCAGGGCAGGTGGGAAGGTCAGCTACAGAGGGGCCAGGGAGGCAGCTGGAGAGCAGTACCCGAGGAGCCAAGTGGAGAAAGCACTCTGGGGAGGAGGGACGGGTGGCCTATGCCAGTGCTGCCAAGCTGAGTGAGACGAGGGTGTGGACAGGCCACCAGATAGGGTGGTGGAAAGCTATCCTTGACCAGATGACAAAACGGCATGTGACAAGGGAGATAGCAGCCAGCAGGGGGTGGGTCTGGAGCAGAGAAGAGCTGAGGAAGTGAAGACAGCAAGTACAGACAACTCTTTGGAGTTTTGCTGTGAAGGCAAGCAGAGAAGTAGGTATAAGCTGGAGGGCAGGATCATACAGAGATGATCCCACAGAGAGGAAAGGCTTGCTGATGCCAGGGTTGGGCATCCTTAAGTCAGTGAGGAGGGGGTGTGTCTGGGCACAGTTGGAAGGCAGCCACAGGGAAGCAGGAACTATTCACATATATGGGCACAGAAAGCAAGTTGCCTGGTGGATTAGGTGAGGGGAGGATGTGGGCGTTCTTTCCCGGCTCTTTTCTTCTGGGTGACTTATAAAATGAGGTTATTGCTGAGTGAGTTTGGTAGATAGAGGAGGTCATGTGCAAAATGCCCTTCTGGACTCTAGAAAGTGGGAGAGTGAACTGACCAAGGAAATGCAGAGGTACTGTGATAGGGCAGTGGGGAGGCTTGAGACTTGTAGTTGTGTATGAAAGTAGAGCCCAAGGTGGGGTATCGGGGAGTTGGTTGTCTGCCTTGCTCAACACACATATGCAGGCCTGGAGCAACCAAGTGTTGTATTTATCCTGAGTTGGGTTTTAACCAGGAAAATATAGCTGAGGAAAAGAGAGACAGGTGAAGTGAAGGAAGGCCATGAAGATGCCTTGGAAATGGACTCGTCACAGAGAAGGGAGGGAGACAGTGGGAAGGCAGTGGGTCACTGAACTGGCAGCCTGGAGTTGTGGGATTACTGTAACAGGACAAAGGATGACTGGAACTAGGATGCTTGAAATTGTGATTTCTACATGGTGCAGTGATGGTGCATAACCTGGGAGTGGTGGCTGAGGAGAGTGGGGAGGCCAGGTTAGTGAGGGTCTGGGAACCAGGAGAGTGAGGGCTGGACATGTAGAAAACAAATTGACATCAGTGGTAGTGACTGAGGAGAGAGCCTGGAGCAGGAGTTGTGTGGAGTACAAGTTAGTGATGGGGACGAAGGCTATAGGTACATGTGTGTGTGGTCTGATGGCAGGATATACAGAGCAGTGGTTGGGCAGAAGACTACAGGATGCCATGGAAAGGATGGCTGTCTCCTCTGCTGCAGGAGGTGAAGGAGAAAAACCATACCAGGCCTGTGAGAACTGCTAGAGATGGGCAATGGGCAGGTGCTGTTAGAGCTGGCAGGCGGGTTCAGGGAGAAAGGAGAGGGGATTGGCTCTTGATACCCACATGGTGTCTGTCAGGTCACAGGGCACTGTTGTGGGACTGGGAGGAGTGAGACATGCAGACTAAATAGGGACAGTACTCCTTTGAAGGACTGGAAGGGGTGGGCCAAGGAGGGCCTCAGTTTGGGGATGGATGCTTGGCTATACCCTATATGCCCACAGATACCCGAGACTACATTTGTGAGTTCTGCGCCCGGTCTTTCCGCACCAGCAGCAACTTAGTCATCCACCGGCGCATCCACACTGGAGAGAAACCCCTACAGTGAGTGTGGGAAAGGGAGCCTGGTGTGGGGTGAAGTGGGGAGGTGCTGGAAGGACACCTGGGAAGCTGGGACCAGGAGGAACCCCTGGGGAAGTCAAGATGGGCTGAGGCACCTTCTCTCACTCTGCTCCCCCTGGTTTAGGTGTGAGATCTGCGGGTTTACCTGCCGCCAGAAGGCATCCCTGAATTGGCACCGGCGTAAGCACGCAGAGACAGTGGCTGCCTTGCGATTCCCCTGTGAGTTCTGTGGCAAGCGCTTTGAGAAGCCAGACAGTGTTGCAGCTCATCGCAGCAAAAGCCACCCAGCCTTGCTCTTGGCCCCACAAGAACTATCTGGTCCACTGGAGTCCTGTTCCAGCATCTTGGCCTCTGCATCCCTGGGGGCCAGTGAAGGATCCAGGTCCTCTCTGGCTCCCCAGGCTCCCATGCTGCTCCCTTAGCAGCAAGTATTCCCCAGAATTTGGGGGATCCAGGGACTGGAAAGGAGCAAGAAGGGCCAGATGCCTGGTGTCCAGGAACTAGGGTGATGGGGAATGCAGGGCAGGGGCAAGACCGGATTTTAGGGGAGCCAGGCTACTTGAGTCTTTCTAAAGGACAGAATAAACCCAGTATTTTACATAGACCTGTGTGGGCAGAGTGAGTATTTTGGCACCTGAGGTACAGAAATCTTGATTCTTTTAGAAACAGGCTCTGCTGGAATGTGCCTGAGTGCACCCTAAGTGCAGGCCCTGTTCCTCTCTCTGCAGTCCCCCACTGGCCCCCACTGTGAGGACCCAGATTTCTTTCCGAATTCACTTTGGCTTCCCTTTTTTCTGTGGAGAGTCACACACACTCTTGCCTTCAAATAAGGCAGGGTGTGATCACTAGGTCATTCCAGAGGGATGGGCTGGAGAAGGATTAGAGGTATGTGACTCTGGGCCACATTTGTATTCCTTGTCAACCAAGACAACCAGATGTATAGGGGCCCCTGAAGAGTCTTGCCTTCCAGTGCAAAAATGAGGGGGCTATACATCCAAGGTTGCTGAGGTAGCCTGGGAAGGGACCAGAGACCTTGATTTTTGAAAGGGCCTGTTTCTTGGGTGACCCTTGGTGTCTGCGAATACAGCAGCCTCAGGTTTAACAAAGGGAGCTCTTGGCATCTAGAACTCAAACAATTCTTTATTTCACCACCTGCAAGAAAAAAAATGGCCAATTCCAGGGAATTTTCAACCCTGCACTGTGGCCTCTGTGGAGCTGTTTCCCCGTGGTTCCAAGTGTGACTTGTACATAGCACTCTCACTCCACTTGGCAGTGCCCAGCTTTGTGGACCCATGTGGTCTTGTCTTAGATCCCAGGCTAATGTCCCCTACCTGGAGAACACTATCCTGAGAAGCACCCTGATCTGTACAGCAACAGGTCTGTCCCATGAGACAGGTGGGCAGCCATGCTGAGGGCTCATGGCCACCTTTACATGCTGTGAAGCACTTCTCTAAGTGCTTCTGATGTGGAGATATCTTTCAGAAAAGTGAGCTCTTCCACTATTTCTCTGCAAATTTCCCATCTCTCAGAAGCTGAGGGAAAAAGCAGCAAGAGACTAACTGCCAAGTGAAAGGAAGAGGTGAGATGACCACAAGGCTGGTGGAATGTGACTAGCCACATCTATAGTCATTACCTGAAGAGATAGGATACCAAAAGTACCCAGAAAGAAAAGGTAGAGGGGACTCAGGCTGCAAAAAGGAGATGGAATAAGAGAAGACAGAACAATGATGGGAAGACAGGCAAGACCTGAGAGCACAGCAGCAGGGATTCGTTACACCAATACTTGGATGCTGTGCTACTCGTGGGGTCTGAGAGGTTTTCACTGCACCTACACCTCAGAGGGGGAGAAGGAAGGACTGAGAACAGGCAAAGAGGTGACAAGGGTCGTACGTGTAGGGGCGCTGTGAGAAGCCAGGTGAAGTTCTACTAAGAGATGGAGAAAGGTGATAGGCCATGCTGTCTTTCCACAGACCTCTGTCTGCGAGTTGTCCCACCGTCTCTGTGGCATTGTATGAGTGCTTGTCTAGCCCACTCCAGAGAAGTCTCAACAAGTCTCTCTCAACTGAGGCAAAAAAAGCCCTGGCTTTTCCTGTCCTGCTTGCCCAGCAACTATGAGTGCAGTGCCTGCCTTGGGCTGAGTGGCAGCGGCAGCAGGAGCAGTGGAGGCATGAGCACGCCTGTGAGCTCGCTGGTGCTGTGACAGGGAGCGGCTGTGGCTAAAACATTTGCCACACTCTGCACATTCCGCTGGCCGCTCGCCCAGGTGCGTCTTGCGGTGCAGTGCCAGCTTGGAACCCACACTGAAGGCCTTGCCACACTCAGGGCACTTGTGGGGCTTGTGGCCAGCATGGTTGCGCCGGTGCACATTGAGGTTGGAGACGCATGTGAAGCACTTGCCGCACAACTCACAGCGGTAGGGTTTCTCACCTGTGTGTGTGCGCCTGTGCTTTGTGAGGTCTGAGCGGTCGCTGAAGCAGCGGCCGCACTCAGTACATGGGAAGGGCCTCTCACCTGTGTGGATGCGCTGGTGCACCACCAAGTCAGAGCGCTGCCCAAAGCCCTTGCCACATGTGGCACAGGCATGTGGCCGCTCTCCCTGATGGCTGCGCCGATGGCGCAGCAGCGTGGAGCTCTCACTGAAGCGTCGCCCGCAGTCGCCGCAGGCGTAAGGCTTCTCGCCCGTGTGTGTGCGCTGATGGCGCACCAGTGTGGCACTCTCCAGGAAGCCCTTGCCGCACTCCGGGCATTTGAAAGGTTTCTCACCCGAGTGCGTCTGCAGGTGTCGCGTTAGCGTGGAACTCTTGCCAAAGCTCTTGCCACACACACCACACTGGTGTGTGTCCGGAGCACCTGGCTGCCGAAATGTGGAGTCACTGGGGCTCCTGGCTGCGTGGACACGCAAATGGCTCCGAAGTCCAGCGCCGCTGCGGAAGACCCGAGAGCACTGTGTGCAGCGGTGGAGTGTGTCAGCAGGCACAGTAGGTGTTCCCCATGGGTGCGCCCGTGCCAGATGGAAGCGCAGCGCGCTCTGGCGGAAGGCTCGAGGGCACAGCGGACAGCGGCGGGGCCTCTCGGGAGGGTGCCAGCGGCGCCGGTGCAGCAGCAGAGCCGGGAGGTGTGGAAAGCATCCACCACAAGCTCGGCAGCGGCAGGAGCGAATGCGCCGTCTATGTACGCTCTGGTGCAGGTCAAGGCGGCCGCTGTGGCGGAAGCTCTGGCCACACTCACTGCAGATGTAGAGCGTCTGGCCCGCGTGAGCGCGTCTATGTGCACGGAGGTCTGAGGCCTCTGCGCATCGCTCACCACACTCTAGGCAGCGGAAGCTGCTGTCACCACTGTGGGCCCGCTCATGCCGCAGCAGCACTGAACTGTAGCGGAAGCTCTTGCCACACTCACTGCACCCATAAGGTCTGCCCGCTGCCACCTCTGAGACAGCGAACATGGTGAGGGCCAGGCTGGGAGCCCTCAGGGTGCAGAGTGCCACTCACACTCTGGAGTCCACCTTCTCCATCTGAGTTATTTTTAAGGCATAGAAAGGGAACAGTAGCAAAGGGAAAGGGGAGAGACCTGGAAAATTGGTCTGTAGATTCCAGGGTTCCTTCTCTCATGGCAGGTGCTGTGGCTGTTTCAGACGTGGGCTGCAGCTAGGTTTACCATGTACCATGAGCCCTGCAGAGAGAAGGTCACTGTGAGCTCCAGCAACATTTATGACAGCTACACCCTGGGGGATGGAGGGTCAAGCACAGGCTTCCTGTTTTCTGTAGCTCCCTCAGTTAGGTCATCTCTTGAATTCCATTCTCCAAGAGAGGAGGCAAAACCATGGGAGTCCTAGAAATATAGGCCAGGGAGGGGTGTGTCCTTGTGCCACTAGGAAGGGCAGGAGGGACTCAGAGGGAAGTCTGCCTCCAGTACAGTGCTCAGAAGAGGAGGAAGAGTGTCCAGCTTGTTTTATAGCCTTAGACCAGGGATCCTAGCCTGGTGATGCACTAGGAAAAGACCAAGGAGGGATGGGCAATGAGAAGTCCCCTAGGCCTAAACCAATCAAAGCCTTCTTCCAAAGACTCAGGGTTTCCTGAGTAACCAATGTGAACTGAGCCAGGCCTAGACTGAAGTGGTGAAGCATAACCCCCTCAAGCAGCAGCAGCCCAGGCAACAGGCTCAGGAATGGCTGGGACCTGAGCAAGGGAAGGAATTTGACAAAACGGAAGTATTGCTCCTTGGCTTTGGACAGCACCTGATAAGCAGTCACTCCACACCAGGGCACAGTCTCCAAGTTCCCTGGCCTAATCTTAAGAAAGAGAAGCAACTCAGGACCCAGGAAAGGGGTAAAAGAATATTATCAAAAGTTGATGGTATTCTTAAAGAAAATGAAGTGAAAGTCGCTTAGTCGTGTACAACTCTTTGCAACCCCATGGACTGTAGTCAATGGAATTCTCCAGGCCAGAATACTGGAGTGTGTAGCCTTTTCCTTCTCCAGGGGATCTTCCCAACCCAGGGATTGAATCCAGGTATCTCACATTGCAGGCGGATTCTTTACCAGCTGAGCCACAAGGACAGCCCATTATTGAAGAAGTGCCTTTCAAATTTCTAGGGAGGGTGGGGAAGGAAGAAGGAAAATCCTTTCTAATTCTTAGGGCATCCAAGTTGTTTGCAAACATTCTGCAGACTTTCCTCACTACCCCAGCTCCAAGGATCTGAGAACCTGAAGTAGCAAAGAAGCCCCTTTATGGGGATGAAATCTGCTCTGCTATTTTCTTTACCTCAAATGGTATCCCTGAATCCTTCTGACAAGTTGGCCCAGATGGCTGTCCCTAAGCAGGATCAGCATTTGTGCACAGAACTTCCTGTGCCCTCTATCTAAAGCACAAATGGGGCTGCTCTCCTAACCTGACTGGCCTCACCACTGATTGCCTCAAGACCCATGGCTCTGTCCCCAGTTCAGTTCAGTGGGACATGGGAGACAGGTATAGCCACTATCAATTACAGCCATGTCACCCAACAGATCAGAGATAGGAAGTAAACAATAGTCATCAGTCATTTTCTTATTAGCAGATAGCAACTCTAAATTTCCAGAGCTGTGGTTAAAACAGCCCACAGATGGGGTTCTAATCTTCTGGATGCAAATGGAGTCAATTAAAAAAAGCCTTTAAAGCTAAGCTACAGACCTGCAGGAGTGGGCTCTGAAGCTTCTGCTCCCCTCCGTACTACTGGGCAGGAGTGGCTGATGTAGGATGTTCTCTCTCTGTGCCTCTGGAGCAGGGTGTGCTGTGCCCTGCAGGAGGGATAAAATAAGAGGGACAATGTGATTTTAAACTGAGCAGAGAGGACAGATGCAAGAAGAGAGAAGAAGGGGACATTTCCTGGAAGAGAGGTATTTTTTAAAAGGATATTTTCAAGTATAAAAAACTTAACAAGAAGAGTATCACAGATCACTCACTCACCTTCAGCATTTATTTACATTCTAAATTATGTTTCATCTACGACATCCCCCCAACTTGCCCTAGCCCATACTTGTTTTTGGAGATGGGGTGGGGGAGGGGTGCACAGGAATATTTTAAATCCTTGTCATCTTATTCAAAGAGTTTTAAACAAAATCTGTAATTAGGAGCAAGAGACCTCTGCAGACCTGAGAGCAGACTTTAGAGTGAGTCTCTTGATTCTCCTAGAAAGAGTTTTCAGCCCAGACACTTGCTTGGGTTGCTGATTCTAACTGGTCAAAATCAAAGGAATGTTTGCTCTCGTGTGAATAAAACCTCTCAGGGGTCAGTGGTTGATCCCAAATGCCAAGGAAAGCAAGGCTTATGTCCTAGTGAGTGTTCCCCCTCACCTGAGTGTCTCTGGAGACTCTGGCACCTCTCAGGCCAAATTTCTGGGATCAAACCCTCTACCAGTCTACCGCTTTCAAAGGTTCATGTCCAAGGAAGGTAAGACAAATGTACAAGCATAAACACACACATATAAATGACATAAACAAAGATACCATTTTGCCCCATTACAGACATGGAATAAGAGACCCTGGTCTAGGGTGCAGGTTTTGTGCTTGAGTGTCAAGGTGTACCCTTCAAGTTTCACTTCTGTTCACCTTACCCCATACTGGAGCTTGCCCTTGAAGGAAAGGGTCTATGCCTGGAAGAAAATCTGAAAAAAAAAAAAAAAAAAGTATTACCCTGCCAACAGAACAATTTCCAGTCTGTCCTAACCATCATTTTCCTGATTGAGTTTAGAAGTGTTACACCACCAAATTTCTTTAACTCTGGGGAAAAAAATAAGTACAAGGGAGGCTTTAAAGAGGGAAGGGGGTAATTATGTGTGAATTTACGAAAAATCCTAGTTGTTTAATTTTAGTAGCTTTCAAGTATTTAATACTTACAGATTTATTATATGTAACTAATAAAAGACAAGTACTAAGAAGATAAGCTAATGGCAAAACTTAACATCACAATACATTTCTGAGTTTCATTTACCACAAAACGTATTTGTTTCTTAATAGATATCGCCAGCATTTCATGTCATATCTAATGGTTCACATGAGTGTTGAGCTAAATCAGGATTTAGTACATTTACTAACAGAAGTGTAGTTCTTTTTTTTCTGAGTTGTACTGTTCAGTCAGAATAAAGATTTTCCTCCCTGGTTATCTTTTCTGCCAGGCCAACATTTCTGGGGCATTGTGAAGAGGTGAGTGATCATCTCAAAATTCCTCCATCTTTAAGTCAGAGTTGGATGCAGATGTGGGTTTGAAGCCTGCCTCAGCTGTGCCACAAGTGACATGTGGCAACTGAAACTTGAAATATGGTTGGTTCCAAATGAGATGTGTTATAAGGGTCAAGTACACGCCTAACTTCAAAGACTTAGTATGAAAAAGAATGCAAAGTACCTCATGAATAATGTTTAATACTGACTGTATGTTGAAATAAAATTTTAGATGTATTGGGTTAAATGAAACAATGAGATATATTTTATAATTTATTTCACCTTTTTTTAAGACAAGTGATGATTACAAACGTGGCCAAATGGCTTGGAACACATACAAAGGGAGGCTGCCCCACCTCACAGTCCCTGGAGGGGACTGCATGGAAAGGCCACTAACCTCCCTGGCCCTTAGAACCAGAGAAGATGGCCACTCTTCTCGTCTCCTAAGATGTAGGGCTCTGGCCACACCCTCCAGAGGGTCCATCTGCTCTTCAGGATAGTGAATATCTATAGTGCCATGTAGATCTGTTTGGGACTTGGGGTTGTGACTAATGCAAAGCCTATCATTGCTACTCTCCTAGTTGTTACTAGCATCAGTATGGAATGGCTCTTGTATGTTCCTGTGTATGTAGCACTTTCCTCCTCCCACTAGTCCTTTGGGGTGGGTACTACTGGGCATCCCTGTGTGACCTATGGTTCCCCTGCAGTGTGAGCTTTTCTAGAGCCATTCAGGCGGCAAGTGGGTCCAGGGACAGGAAAGGGATTCTGTCTCTGATTCTCCCTGAGAGTCTCCAACCCTCGTGGCCCTGGCCAGTTGATAGTAGCAGATCAGGAAGTCCCAGGTGACCTCACAGGCTGCCATGGGAGTTGGGCTTACTTGTGCTTTGCATTCGATTCTTTGCAATCCTGGTATGAGAAAGGAAACCGTTGGCCTTAGAAGTGGTTTGGAGAGTGGTAGCTGAATTTGGGAGAGAAGATTCTTCTGCTGGCCTCTCTCTATATACTTAAACCCCACCCTAATCCCAGCCCTAAAGTCTGTTCTGTTGCCCCAGCCTCAATGACAGCGTAGTCTCAAGGACTCTGAGATACCCCCTAGAGGCAGACGAAATGTTACATCCATTATGAAGCAAATGATACACTTTTCACTGCTGAGAAGAGGAGGAGGGAGGAATTGGATGGATGGAAAAGTTTCCCTAGCCCACTGGAGCCTGATTTGGGTCTTTTCCACTTGTAGTTCTTTCAACCTGAAAGCCCTTTCCCTTCTTCATTCAGTGCTCTGCCTCAGTAATCCCTCCACAGAGAAACCCTACTGAGCACCTCCACTCCTCCAGCCCACCCCCCCCCCCCCCACCTTGGCTTTATTCTGAATAATCAGTGAAAGTATCATTAAAGAGTGATTCCCAGTCCACTTTGGAAAGGTTTCAGTCTCTTTTCTAAGTGAGGATGGGGTATGAAATCCAGAGCAGCAGAGTGGTCACTCCTCACTTCCCTCTTTCCCTTAACAGAAACAAGGTCCAGTATTTTAAAAGACCTTATCTCTTCCAGCTTCAGATCCAGTCTGACATGTTTAAAGAGTTGGTGGAAACAGAAACGACAGTTCCCCTTTCCCATCAACTGCCCAAGCCTGATCATGATCCAAGCAGATTCTTTTGCAACTTTTTTTCACAAAGATTTTTCATGTGAAATCTGGGAAGTGTGGAGAAGGTATGTATGTTGACAGGGAGAGAACATAGCAGAATAGTTTATTCTCTATGTTCCTTTGACACACGGGCAAGACTACAGCTCAGAAGAGCCAGAGGAGCCCAGAAGCGGGATGAGGGGAAGGACTATAAAGTGGTTTGCATTCCTCCTGGGCCTAGCAATAAGTTGGGCACACATAAGGCATCTAATGCTTTTTAAAAATGATGTATTAATCTGGAATGCTATTCTTTCAAGCATTAGGTTCCTGGAGGAGAGTGCCTCTCTCTAGTCATCTTATCCTCCATAGCCCTATCCACTGCATACACTGCAAATACTCAGCCTTGGTTTACTAACTGGGAACTGCAACCTCTGTAGGGGAACTAGAGAGGCAAGTATCCAAGTTTTGGGTCTTCCATGACTGGCTGTGTGACCTTGGACCGGGGGAGTCGTGTGCCTAACACTCCTGCCTGAGAAAACTCAGTAGAGGAAACTATTACAACGTCTCCCATGAAAAGAGGTAGGTGTAAAGTCTGAGAACGGCACTTGCTGAGTTTTTAGGATTTACTCTTCCCAGGACAGTTTTGAGGAACTCTGAAAAACGGGTCTGACTCCTACCTCCTAAGCATCCTAAACGTTCTGCAAAACCTTTCAAGGCCTTCTCCTCCCCGACTGCCCCCCACCCCCGCAAAGAACCCTACTTAATGGGATTAGAGAAGTGTGGGTCTTTCGCAGACCCTCGACAAACACCGGGGCTTAGAGTAAGTATTGACGTTGATTACACATTTTAAGGCTTGGTTTCTAGTACTGAACGGGAGCTGAGAACAACTATTCGAGGAATGAAGAACACCGCACCTGAGCAGATCGCCTTCCCTGACCCCCCTCCGCAGCGCAGCCAATCCCAGGCGCCTCAGTTAGTTTTCGTCACGAGTTGCTGGTCAGATTCTCCTTGGACGAAATTTCCCATCCCTGGGCCTATCTCAACTCTTTGCCCTAGGCGCCAGCCCACCCGAAGGGCAAGACAGGGCACCAAAAACGTAGTGTAGAGTAGGGGGCGTTTAATATGGTCGGGACCTAGAGGCTGCAGCTGCCCTTTTTTTTCGGACTCAGCCTGGCGATATTTGCGTCGTGGGGCCGCCAGCAACGAAGGTCACAGCGGGAAGACTGGCGAGGACAGACGGAGGGCAAGGCCTGGGAGGAGCAGGCCGCGCGGCAGCAGCGGACGAGGGCCAGCCAATCCCTTGCTCCGCTGGGCCTCTGCGTCACTAGTTGCCAGGGCGGCGTTCTTCACGGCGGCAGACGCTGGCCGCCCAAAGCTGAGGGAAAAAGCCCGGCGACAATTGGGGATGGCTGCCCCGCGCTAACCCTTCCTCCCGCCCCTCGGTCCCCTCACCGGTCGCCGACTGGCTCCTCGGACACCGCGCGGCTCCCACTCAGCTGGGTCGCTGACCCCCGCTTCCCGGATTGCGGGACTGTGGCGGGGAAGGGAAGGAAGGAGCGCGGGGCGGCCTGGGGGGGAACTGGGAGGTGCCTCGGGATTGAGGGTCACGCTTCAGCCCCGCTATCCCGGGTTGGCCAGTGGCCCGCCTCACGCCGGTGCGTCACCGGTTGCTGGGAAAACTACGAGACGTACTACGGCTTCACCAAAGGTTCGGCCTTACCTGCACGGGCCGGAATTCCAGTAAGGGGGCGGGACCAATAGACGGAGCCTCAGGAGACGCCGGGCCCGCCTCCCTCCCGTGTCAAGGCCCCACCTTCTTCCTGGGCTCAACCAATCCCTGCCTCTGCCTTTGCCTACGCCCCAACCCGGTCTCTTCCCGCCCAATCAAGAGGAAAAGGCTCTGAGCCCCTCGCACAGCCTCAGCGCCTAGTGGCGGAGTCCGGGTGCATGCTTTTGTGTTCCTGCGGTTCACAGGGACAGGCGGGGACGCAGAAAGATATCCCCGCTGGTGCCGCAGCCTGGCTAGGGGTGCCCCGGGGTGGAGTGACCTTGGGGGCCACCCGCCCGAAAGTCCCGGCAGTAAGCTAGTGACTTCTTACAAAGAGGCCACACGTGATACCTGTTATCTTAATCCTTGCCACAGCCCTGCCAAGGAATTGATAACACGTCCGAGATTGCACTACCAATATTGGGGGGGGGGGGTACTCCTAATCGACTTTCCAGTTGTCTCTACAAAAGCATACTGGCTGAACTCTCTGTTCAATGTCTTGTTCCACTTAGATGTGCTGTTACTGTTTTCCAGAAACGCATTTGGGGATGTGACTGCGCTCAGGGCTGCCTGTCAGGCTCCGGATGATGCCACTCAGGATCATTCTTTACCAGTTCTAATCTTTCTTTCAATGGTCACTTAGTGCCACATATCTTGTCATCCATCCAGAGCTTCTACCCCTCTCCTCTGCTCAGTTCAGTCGCTTAGCTGTGTCTGACTCTTTGCGACCCCATAGACTGCAGCACGCCAGGCTTCCCTGTCCATCACCAACTCCTGGAGCTTGCTCAAACTCATGTCCATAGCGTCGGTGATGCATGCCATCCAACCATCTCATCTTCTATCATCTGTTTCTCCTTCTGCCTTCAATCTTTCCTAGCATCAGGGTCTTTTCCAATGAGTCAGTTCTTAGCATCAGGTGGCCAAAGTATTGACGCTTTAGCATCAGTCCCTCCAATGAATATTCAGGACTGATTTCCTTGAGGACTGACTGGTTTGATCTCCCTGCAGTGCAAGGTACTCTCAAGAGTCTTCTCCAACACCACAGTTCAAAAGCATCAATTCTTCACTGCTCAGCTTTCTTTATAGTCCAACTCTCACATCCATACATGACTACTGGAAAAAACATAGCTTTGACTAGATGGACCTTTTTTGGCAAAGTAACATCTCTACTTTTTAATATGCTGTCTAGGTTTGTCATAGCTTTTCTTCCAAGGAGCAAGCGTCTTTTAATTGCATGGCTGCAGTCACCATCTGCAGTGATTTTGGAGATCAAGAAAATGACATCTGTCACCATTTCCATTATTTCCCCATCTATTTGCCATGAAGTGATGGGACCGGATACCATGATCTTAGTTTTTTGAATGTTGAATTTTAAGCCAAATTTTTCACTCTCCTCTTTCACTTTCATCACGAGGTTCTTTAGTTCTTTGCTTTCTGCCATAAGGGTGGTGTCATCTGCCTATCTGTGGTTATTGCTCCTGGCGATCTTGATTCCAGCTTGTGCTTCATCCAGCTCAGCATTTCACATGATGTACTCTGCTGCTGCTGCTGCTAAGTCGCTTCAGTCGTGTCCAACTCTGTGCGACCCCATAGACGGCAGCCCATCAGGCTCCCCCGTCCCTGGGATTCTCCAGGCAAGGACACTGGAGTGTGTTGCCATTTCCTTCTCCAACGCATGAAAGTGAAAAGTGAAAGTGAAGTTGCTCAGTCATGTCTGACTCCTAGCGACCCCATGGAGTGCAGCCTACCCAGCTCCTCTGTCCACGGGATTTTCCAGGCAAGAGTACTGGAGTGTGTTGCCATTGCCTTCTCCGGATGTACTCTCCGGATGTAAGTTAAATAGGCAGGGAGACAATATACAGGCTTGACGTACTCCTTTCCCAATTTGAAACCAATCTGTTGTTCCATATCTGTTGCTTCTTGACCTGCACACAGAAATCCTCAGGAGGCAAGTAAGGTGGTCTGGTATTCCCACCTCTTTAGAATTTTCCACAGTTTGTTAATGATCCACACAGTCAAAGGCTTTGGTGTAGTCAATAAAGCAGATGTTCTTCTGGAATATCTTTGTTTTCTCTATGATCCAGTGAATGTTGGCAATTTGATCTCTGGTTCCTCTGCCTTTTCTAAATCCAGCTTGAACATCTGGAATATCTTGGTTCACATACTGTTGAAGCCTGGCTTGGAGAATTTTGAGCATTACTTTGCTAGTGTGTGAGATAGGTGCAATTGTTCGGTAGTTTGTGTACACTTACATCTTTCAAGCCCTTCCCATCGTGAAAGGTTGTTGCTGAACGATAAGACACCAGGATTCTTGGCCTCCGGAGGAGATGAATTCAATCCGGGGCCAGAGACAGGCTGGATCGCTCAGAGCTTTTCTGTAATAAAGTTTTATTAAAGTATAAAGGAGATAGAGAAAGCTTCTGACATAGGCATCAGAAGGGGGCAAAATAGTACCCCCCTCCTAGTCTTTAGCTGTATGTTATATAGTCACTCATAGTCTGTTAATGAAAAGAAAGAAATGTCATAAAATTTAGAATGGCACCAGATAATTCATCCCTGGCCATAAAACAACTGACTTGAATCTTGTAGAAGGGCAGAATACTAACAAATAGTTTTGTTTACATAGATTAGGGGAACAATACCTGACTAAGTAAGTTAGGCCGTTTGGTGGAACCAACTTGAAGATAGAGTCTGGGTTCATTAACATAGTTTAAGACAACATTTCCGGGGGGAGAGGAGCCAAGATGGCGGAGGAATAGGACGGGGAGACCACTTTCTCTCCTACAAATTCATCGAAAGAACATTTGAATGCTGAGCAAATTGCACAAAACAACTTCTGATCGCTAGCAGAGGACATCAGGCGCCCAGAAAAGCGGCCCATTGTCTTCGAAGGGAGGTAGGACAAAATGTGAAAGATAAAAAGGGAGTCAAAAGAGCTACGGACGGAGACCCGTCCCGGGAAGGGAGTCTTAATAGAGGAAGTTTCCAATCACCAGGAAACCCTCGCACTGGCGGGACTGGGGGAAGTTTTCGGCAATCTAACTGGGAGGAAAAATTAAACAAGGCCCACAGATTACGTGCCTAAAAGCAACTCCCAGCAGAAAAGTACCCCAGACGCCAGTACCCGCCAGCAACAAGCGGGGGCGGGACGGAGAGGAGTGGGCGGCATTGCTTAGGGCCCGAACACACTGCCGGCGGTTCGCAAAACAAAGGGACTGAGAAAGTCCACAGAAGAGCCGGCCCATCCCCGCTGGAGGTTGGAGGCAGGGGGTAGGGGAAAAGGGCAAACTCAGCCCCTGAGAAGCCACTCCCTCCCACACTGCAAACAGGCCCCCGGTTCCTATCTAAAGACTTCCTGAGACCCGACTGGCAGCGCGCGCTGGGGCCGCGGAGGGAAAAGGCGCGCCACCTCCGGGGAGAGTGCGCCCAAGCCTCCGGCTGCCTGAGCTGCCCGCCGCACCCAGGGAGAGTACGCCCAAGCCTCTGGCTGCCTGAACCGCTCAGGCCGGGGAAGGCACAAAACGCAGGCGCAACAGAATCTGCGCTTTTGTGGAGTACCCGAAATCTGGAACCGCACTCAACGCAGGGCCCGCTCCATATAGAGCAGCTGGGAGCCTGAGCAGTGTAGACGGCGAAAGCACTGACACCCGTGAGCGGGGCAAACCCAGTGTGACCGGAACACGGTGAGTGCTATCCACACAGAGCGGTATCTGTCTGCAGCGCCCCGCCCTCCCCGTAGCAGGACTGAACTGAACTAGAGAACCTAAATAAGAGATCACCTCCGCCCGCCTGTGTCAGGGCGGAAATTAGACCCCGAAGAGACGGCAAACAGAAGCCAAATAAACAAAGGGAACCGCTTCAGAAAGGACTGGTGCAACAGACTAAAATCCCTGAAGGTAACACCGACTACACCAGAAGGGGCCTACAGATATCGAGAAGTGTAAGCTGGAAAGAGGAGCTATCTGAAATTGAACTGAACCTACGCTGACTGCAACAACTCCAGAGAAATTCCTAGATATATATATATATTTTTTTTTAATTTAAAAAAAAAAAAAATTTTTTTTCTATCTTTTTTTTTTTTTAATTTTTTCTCTTTTATTTTCTTTTAAAATTCCCTATTACTCCCCCATTACTCCTCAACTTTCATTTTCATATATTTTTACGATTTTTTTAATTAGGGAAAAAAAATTTTTTTTTTCTTTTTTTTCTTTTTCTTGTTTTTCTCTCCTATTTTAAAGTCCTCTAATACTCCTCTATTATTCCTTAATTTTCATTTTCATTTCACTATAACCTTGCCAAAAAAAAAAAGAGAGAGAAACCCTATTTTTAAATCAAACTTCATATACATTTCTAAATTTTTTTTTTGTTTTTGTTTTTAAATATTGTATTTCAAAGAGTCTAACCTCTACACTAGATTTTTAATCTTTGTTTTTCAGTAGTATGTGATATAAATTTTGGTCATTTAAGAATCCAATATTCAGTTCCCATTTCTATTCAGGAGTGTGGTGATTACTCTCCCACTTTTGACTCTCTGTTTTCTACCTCGGAACACCTCTATTTCCTCCTTTCCCCTTCTCTTCCCAATCCAACTCTGTGAATCTTTGTGGGTGTCTGGGCTACGGAGAACACTTTGGGAACAGATAACTGCGTAGATCTCTCTCTCTCCTCTTGAGTCCCCTTTTTCTCCTCCTGATCACCTCTATCTCCTTCCTCCCTCTCCTATTCTTCAGGTAACTCTGTGAACCTCTCCGGTTGTCTCTCACGGTGGAGAATCTTTTCACCATTAACCTAGAAGTTTTATTATCAGTGCTGTATAGTTGGAGAAGTCTTGAGACTATTGGAAGAATAAAACTGAAATCCAGAGGCAGGAGACTTAAGCCCAAATCTTGAGAAAACCAGAAAACTCCTGACTACACGGAACATTAAGGAATAAGAGACCATCCAAAAGCTTCCATACCTACACCAAAACCAACCACCACCCAAGAGCCAATAA